TATATATATATATATATATATATATATATATATATATATATATATATATATATATATATTATATTTATTTATTTATTTATTTCCTCTTTCTCGATTCGTCTCGCCATAAACCTATCCCTTTTCTCTCTCCTTCCATCACTACATTTCTTTTTCACTTCCTCTTTCTCGATTCGTCTAAACCTATCCCTTTCTCTCTCCTTTCACTTACTCCTCCTCACAGCTGCTGTCTAAATCCTCGCTCTCCTCTGCATTTACATTGTCCCTTCCTCAAATCCCTCTCGCAGCTTTTCTTTTTCCCTTTTGCAGTCAGCCGTTCAATCTCTCTTAGTCTCTGCAGTCAGTCTTTCTCTCTCTCTCTCTCCTCTTTATTAATTAACTTTCTCCCTTTCTCGAATCGCTTTTGGTGATCTGTTTATTTCTCTACGTTTGTTTTTATCATTCTTTATCTTTGTCTGTTTATCTGTCTGTCTGTCTACATGCCAATCTGTCTCTCTATTTATCGCCTTCTCCTCTCTGTCTGTATTCATCTCTCTCTTTTTTCTGTTATATCTGTCTGTCTGTCTGTCTACATACCTCCCTGTTTATCTGTCTATCTGGCTATTTTCTATCACTGCCGACCTCTCCCTCTCCCCTCCTTCCTTCCCTCCCTTCGTACTCTTCCTCTACATTCCCTGTCTCCCTCTCCACTTAACTCCATCCCTTCTCTTCCTCTTCCTTTCCTCTTAACTCCGTCCCTTCTCTCCTTCCCTCCCTCCCTTCCTTTCCTTCGTCCCTCCCTCCTTCCCTCCGTCCCTTCTTTCCCTCCCACCCTCCTTTCTTTCCTTCGTCCCTTCTCTCCCTCCCTCCCTCCTTCCTTTCCTCCGTCCTCCCTCCATTCCTTCTCACCTTCTCTCCCTTCCTCCATCCCTTCCTCCTCCCTCAGTCCCTTCTCTCCCTCCTTCCTCCGTCCCTTTTCTCCCTTCCTCCCTCAGTCCCTTCTCTCCTCCCTCCTCCCTCCGGCCCTCTCTCCTCCTCCCTCCTCCCTCTTTCCCTCCTCCCCCGCTTCCTGCACCAGCACCAACCCTCCCCTTTCCCACCAGATACGCGGCGCAGTTCACCACCTACCGCAACTCCAGCACCGTGGCAACCCGATGGCGCTTCTCCCTCGGGATGCAGAAGGTGCAGGAGATCCAGAGCCTTTGCCGCCCCGCCCTTCGCTACTACGGCTACAGGAGCTTCAGTGAGCGGGGTCAGCTCCACAACCTCAACGTCTCGGTTATCGAAGCTCGCCCGGGGAGGAGCTTCTTGGGCTGAGGGCGGAGAGGAGCTCGGCTGGGGATGGGTAGTCTATTTCTTCGGTTTGTCATATATTATTATTATTATTATTATTATATTATTATTATTATTATTATTATTATTATTATTATCATTATTATTATTATTATCATTATTATTATTACAACTACTGCTGCTGCTACTTCTACTACTACTGCTACTACTACTACTATTATCATTATCATTATTATTACTCTTATTATTGTTACTATTAACATCATTGGTAGTAGTAATAGTAGTGACAGTATTGTAATTATCATTATTGCTATATAATATCACTAGCATTAGTTTTACTGCAAATATTTTGTTATTATTTACGTTTTAAATTCTAGACTAATGAGACTAATATATTCATTTCACAAGCAGACTTCAGAATTCAGCAACTCTTGTGCCGAAACAAACACGTTCATATACACAGCGCAACTCACGCATGAACGTATATACACATGCACTGCCACGCTTTCATTATGCAGGAGACGCAGCGGCCCGTGACACGCCCTCTGTGCTCCTCTGTCACCAGGATCAAGTCATCAGCTGTTCTCGAGTCAACAAGCCAGAGGTTGGATACAAGTTTTCGTCGGAAAGTTAGTTCGCGATTCGCCGCTTGACGTGCATGCAACTCGCCATTTCTAAAAGCATTCCTTAGGGACACTAAACCACGAGCTAAGTTTCAGTCTCCGTTGTTAAAGGACATCTAACAGCTGACGTTTTCTATAAGGTGTTTGGTGACGTATTCTCGGGGGTAACTTTCCCTTTTTTTCTTCCTCCGAGTTCAGAGAAGTTCATTATTCCTCTTTGGAAGAACAGTAAATAAGGTCAATAAATTTTCTTCTAGTTTACAGCCTTGTATAATTTTTACCTTTTCGAGAAAATACAAAATGCAAATGACAAACACAACACAGGAAGCTGAACTGTTGTTGTATCCAAAAGGCAGGCAGCGGTTACATGACCCAACGGAGGAATTAATCTCCTCAAAGCCTTTGCTGTTAAAAATTTCCAAGGATCAGAATAAGAAAGTTGGCAGAGGTTTTATGTTAGCTTTGTGTCATGATAATATATTAGCAATCTGAGCCATTGCTTAGGGTATATTCTCATTATATTTTATGTATATTTCTCATTATTTTTTGTTAGCTTTGTGTCATGATAATATATTAACAATCTGAGCCATTGCTTAGGGTATATTTCTCATTATTTCTCATTATATTTTATGTATATTTCTCATTATTTTTTGTTAGCTTTGTGTCTTATGATAATATATTAGCAATCTGGGCCATTGCTTAGGGTATATTTCTCATTATTTCTCATTATATTTTATGTATATTTCTCATTACTTAGATGTTAGCTTTGCGTCTTATGATAATATATTAGCAATCTGAGCCATTGCTTAGGGTATATTTCTCATTATTTCTCATTATATTTTATGTATATTTCTCATTATTCTTTTGTTAGCTTTGTGTCTTAATATATTAGCAATCTGGGCCATTGCTTAGGGTATATTTCCAGTGGTAAGCGTTATGTCTTGGCTTTTATAGCATATCCTATCTTCAGACAGCACATTGCAACGTTGCTTAGCCATGTTCATAAGCAGATATAGCAAAAAAAAATAAAAAATAAAAAAAGAAAATAAAAAAAAAAAAAAAAAAAAAAAATATGGAGAACGCAATTTCATTTCCCTGAATATTTCCTTGCAATTTCCCTGAATATTTTACAGTCGGTTATCATCATCATGTTTTATTACGATTATTATTATTATCGTTTTCATTATCTTCATCGTGATCATTATTATCATTATCATTGATATTATTGTTATTATTATTATTATAATCATCATTATTATTGTTATCATTATCATCATTATTGCTATTATCATTATTATCATCATTATTATTGATATAATTATCATTCTCATTATCATTATCATTTTCATTTTTACCATTGTAATTTTTACCATTATAACAATAATAATGATAATGATAATGATAATAATAGTAGTAATGATAATAATAATAATAATAATAATAATAATAATAACAATAGTAATAAAGATAATGATAATAAAAACAATGATAATAATAATAATAATGACAATGATAATAATAATGACAATAATAATAATAATGATAATGATAATAATGACAATAATAATAATAACAGTAGTGACAATAATGATAATAATGGTAATTATAATAAAAATAATCATAATAATGATAATAATGGTAATTAAAATAAAAATAATCATAATGATGATAACGATAATGATGATAATAATAGTAATAATAAAAAAAATAATAATGATAGTAATAATAACGTTAATAGTAATAATAACACCAATAATAATAATGATAGTAATAATAACGTTAATAGTAATAATAACAACAATAATAGTAATAATGAAATAATGATGATGATAACCATAATATCAATAATATTAAAAATAATAATCATGATATGATAAAATAATGATGATAATAATAATAATGATATAATAATATAATAATAATAATAATAATAATAATAATAATGATAATAATAATAATGATAATAATAATAATAATAATAATAATAATAATAATAATAATAATAATAATAATAATAATGACAATAATGATAATATAATAATAACAACAATAATAGTAATAATGAAATAATGATGATGATAACAGTGATATCAATAACAGTAATAATGATAAAATAACAATAAAATGATCATACTACTATTACTACTAACACCAATAATGATAACGATAATATCAATAATACAATATAAAAAAACCAACACGAATAAATAACGATTTTGTTCTCGATAGACACCCACACTTTACAGACAGACAGACACACGGCGTTTCAACTTGACGGCTACGTGTCTCGTGTCTTCTGATGAGAGAGAGAGAGAGAGAGAGAGAGAGAGAGAGAGAGAGAGAGAGAGAGAGAGAGAGAGAGAGAGAGAGAGAGAGAGAGAGAGAGAGAGAGAGAGAGAGAGAGAGAGAGAAGGAGAGAGAGAGAGAGAGAGAGAGACAGAGAGAGAGAGAGAGAGACATAGACAGACAGAGAGAGCGAGAGAGAGACAGATAGACAGACAGAGACAGACAGACAGACAGAGAAAGACAGACAGACAGACAGACAGAGAGAGAACAGAGACGAGAGAGAGAGAGAGAGAGAGAGAGAGAGAGAGAGAGAGAGAGAGAGAGAGAGAGAGAGAAGAGAGAGAGACAGACAGAGACAGACAGACAGAGAGAGAGCGAGAGAGAGAGAGAGACAGACAGACAGAGAGACAGAGAGAGAGAGAGAGACGACGAGAGAGAGAGAGAGAGAGAGAGAGAGAGAGAGAGAGAGAGAGAGAGAGAGAGAGAGAGAGAGAGAGAGAGAGAGAGAGAAAGAGAGAGAGAGAGAGTTATTCTCGACTTCATCTGCCCGGCTCAGCATCAGTACCGAATCCTTTGCCGATGTCTCTGGCGATTCGGTACCATCAGCTGGGAGATTAGCATTGTCAGCGTACCAATCCGCAGCAATGAGCATGGAGCTAATATGTCATGGTATGAGTGCGTCCTCAGTGGGTATATTGCGTGTATATCGCAGTGTTAAACGGAGGTTGAGTTTTTCCCTTCTTCTCATTAAAAAAATCTGATACTTTCCCATTTTTTCTATTCCTTCTCCCACTGTTCTTTTCTACCTTCCTCCCTGCTTGTTTCTCTCTTTTGTTATTCATTTATTCATTTTTTAAAATCTTTCTGCCTCTCCATCTTTTCTTCTCCCCCCTTCCTCCCTCTCCTTTGTTTCTCTCTCTTCCTTTCCGACTTGATTCTTTCTCCTTCCCTCCCTCGTCCTTTTCTCTTTTTTCGCTCTCTTTGTACCCTCATTTCCCTTTTCTCTCTCTCCTCTTCTTCTCCCTTTTTATCTCTCTCTCTCTTCGTCCCTCTATTTTTCTCTCCCTTCTTACCTACCCCCTCTCTCCATTTTGTCCTCTTAAGATAATCCTACACCTTTTTACTCCGATAACGAAAACACATAACACTGACAGCTTATCCTCACTAACACCCAAAAATCCAGTTTCACATTATAAATTAGAATCCCCTTTAAAATCCGTTTTCTATGATGAATCGCACCAACAGTGAATCTTTTAACCCCCTCATGGCGGGCATACGGTATCAGGACGACCCTCTCAGCCAAGCAAAATTCTAAACCGCTGGAGCCATAGAGTTTATTTCATGCAATTCAACCGACTCTTTAAAAGACGCTAAATAAATTATCCGTACACAGAACCAGCTTATTGTCGGATCTAATCACTGGTCATGGCCATCCCACCCATAAATTTTCATTACAATCTCTCAATATCTGCGTGCTCAATAAAAGAAAGAAAGAACGAAAAAGAGAAAGGAGAAAAGAAGAGGAAAAAATAGAAAGAAAAAGAAGAAGAAGGAGAGTGAGAGAGAGAGAGAGAGAGAGAGAGAGAGAAGAGAGAGAGAGAGAGAGAGAGAGAGAGAGAGAGAGAGAGAGAGAGAGAGAGAGAGAGAGAGAGAGAGAGAGAGAGAGAGAGAGAGAGAGAGAGAGAGAGAGAGAGAGAGAGAGAGAGAGAGAGAGAGAGAGAGAGAGAGAGAGCGTAGGCGTGCACAGTAGACGCAGACTCAAGCGTGCTGGAGCTGGCAACCTTTACATCAAGCTTTCCTGTTTTCTCGAACTATTCTTGCCTATTCAACCTACGCGGATGGACGGGTGAGTGAGATGGAAAGACCGTCATTATTCCTGTCACTCTTTCCTGTCTTTTTTCTCTGTCTGTCTGTCTGCCTTTGTCTACCTGCCTGTCTGTTACTCTTTCCTGTCACTTTTTTTTCGTCTGTCTGTCTGCCTGCATGCCTACCTGTCTCTCACTCTTTCCTGTCTTTTTTTTTCTGTTTGTCTGTCTGCCTCTGTCTACCTGCCTGCCTGTCTCTCACTCTTTCTTGTCTCTTTTTTTCTGTTTGTCTGTCTGCCTCTGTCTACCTGCCTGCCTACCTGTCTGTCACTCTTTCATGTATCTTTTTTTTCTGTCTGTCTGTCTGCCTTTGTCTACCTGCCTGTCTCTCCTTCGTTCTATCTCTCTATATCATTTCTCTCTCGCTTTCTCTATCTATTTCTGTCTCTCATCCTTTCTGCATGTATACACACCTGGCAGAACAGGACAAAACAAAGCGATGTAGACAGCAAAAAATACAAAGAAAAAAAGGAGAAAAAAATAATGAATCTTCTCTTAGGAAGAGAACGGTATCTAGAACATATTATTTCGAAAAAAAAGACTTTTATCTTTTCTTCGTCTATTTCTTTCGAGCAAAGCATTTCCTTTTTTGCTTTACCATATCTTTTCTTTTTTCCTTTCATTCCCTTTCGCTTTTTTTCCTTTCATTCCTTTCGCTTTACCATATCTTTTCTTCTCTTTTCCTTTCATTCCTTTCGCTTTACCTTATCTTTTCTTCTTTTTCCTTTCATTCCCTTTCTCTTACCATATCTTTTCTTCTTTTTCCTTTCATTCCCTTTCGCTTTACCATCTTTTCTTCTTTTTTCCTTTTTTCCTCTCGCTTTACCATATCTTTTCTTCTTTTTTTTTTCATCGCTTTACCATATCTTTTCTTCTTTTTTCTTTCATTCCCTTTCGCTTTACCATATTCTTTTTTCCTTTCATTCCCTTTCGCTTTACCATATCTTTTCTTCTTTTTTCCTTCCATTCCCTTTCGCTTTACCATATCTTTTCTTCTTTTTTTCCTTTCATTCCCTTTCGCTTTACCATATCTTTTCTTCTTTTTTCCTTTCATTCCCTTTCGCTTTACCATATCTTTTCTTCTTTTTTCCTTCCATTCCCTTTCGCTTTACCATATATCTTTTTCCTTTCATTCCTTTCGCTTACTCTTTTTTCTTTTTTTTCTTTCATTCCCTTTCGCTTTCATTTTCGCTTTACCATATCTTTCTTCTTTTTTCCTTTCATTCCTTCTTTACCATATCTTTTCTTCTTTTTTCCTTTCATTCCCTTTCGCTTTACCATATTTTTCTTCTTTTTTTCCTTTCATTCCTTTCGCTTTACCATATTCTTTCTTCTTTTTTCCTTTCATTCCCTTTCGCTTACCATATCTTTCTTCTTTTTTCCTTTCATTCCCTTTCGCTTTACCATATTTTTTTTCTTTTTCCTTCATTCCCTTTCGCTTTACCATATCTTTTCTT